GATGAAAATGGTTTTCGTGGTACATAGTTTTTCCTCACTTAGCATAACTTCAATTTTAGATGCAGATAATCAGCAAAAATGCAAGCAGTTTTAGTTTTTATTATATTCAATAATAAAGAACGGATTTGCCTTCTGCTTTTCCCCAAAGTTCTTTAAACTAAATGCCTTCTGATCTGGAGGCTCATTTTCCAGTACGGTACCTACACTGTCATGGTTATAAATATCCACTTGGCTTTCATGGAAGAATATTGGATTGGATTGTTGTTTCCTTGTGGAGAGTTTAGTTCCTTATCCATGATCCACCACAATTTTGGATGAAAATTTGGGGGAAGGGGGAGCCTACATTCTCAACATTAGAACTCATGCCATCATTGAACCAACTTCTTCACCATTACAATCAGGAGTGAAATTCAGCCAGTTCCTACTGGATCGCGCAATACAGTAGGGCTGACTGCGCGAAGCCCCGCCCACCCACGCGGCATCATGACGTTCCTTTTTTGCAATGATTTTCAACCTCTGTGCATGCGCACAAGGCTTTGCCTATGTGCGGACAACGGCACGCGCACACATTTGCAAACCGGTAGGGAAGGTAAGTGAATTTCACCCCTGATTACAATGTAGCAATCCATGAAAGGGGCTGAATCAAAACATTGTTTTGAAACTTAGTCTACTATATAATATGGTTTGTTTAAAAAAAGAAGGTCAGTTATTTTTAAGTAGTGAGAGATATGAAGACAGCTTAGTTCTTTCATTTTGTTCTATCCTTGTAAGTGTAAGCACTGAGAGTGAATTGGGCAGCCAGATATATTTTCTTAATAAAAATAAATAAATAAGTTTGGAACAGGAATTAGATAAATAGTCTGCTCAATTCTACCACTTGATATCATGTTCAAATATTCCCTTTCCTGCCTATAAAGGTAAAGGTAAAGGTTCCCCTCGCACATATGTGCTAGTCATTTCCGGCTCTAGAGAGCGGTACTCATCTCCGTTTCAAAGCCGAAGAGACAGCACTGTCCGAAAACGTCTCCGTGATCATGTGGCCGGCATGACTAAATGCCAAAGGTGCACGGAACGCTGTTACCTTCCCACCAAAGGTGGTCCCTATTTTTCTACTTGCATTTTTTACATGCTTTCGAACTGCTAGGTTGGCAGAAGCTGGGACAAGTAACGGGAGCTCACCCCATTACGTTGCACTAGGGATTCAAACCACTGAACTGCTGATCTTTCGATCGACAAGCTCAGCATCTTAGCCACTGAGCCACCACGTTCCATTCCTGCCTATAGAATAATATAAACCTGGATCCTATGTGTATTGATCTCACTACTACTGCCGATACTGCTGAATTATAATGCAATATATAAATTATATATGCACCATTGCAATCCCACAAAGAAATAATATACAGTTAAAATAATAGAATTTATAACTAATGCAAATTTGTAAAAATAAGTACCTGAAATTAAACAGACATGAACAAATATTCAGAATATTTAAAAATGTAAATAATGCAATTAACAAGGAAAGCAGTTAACAGCTTGCACCTATTAAACAACAGACAGGAACTGGCTTGTTGTTTATTGGCGAGTCCAGTTTTAATGCTTGCAAACTCTGCCTAGTAAGTTTTCTCTGTAGGCTTCCTACCCTTCCTCAATAGGAATCCACTTTCACTGTTCATAATCTCATAAACATAGCCTAGAAATAACTACAAATTCTGCTAATTTTCTGCTTTATTTGTTTCTCTGTTATGACAGCACCAGAGGTGGGATTCAGCTGGTAGTGGCGACTGCAGGAGGCTCCGCCCACCCACCCTGACATATTGCATGAGTACTGCGCATGCACGGAAAGCTGTGCGCATGCTCAGAGCTCACATTTGTGAACCAGTGGGGAAGATAAGTAAATCCCACATCTGGACAACACCATTTAACAGCTTTATGCTCCCATATGCTATTGATTACCTATTTGCCAGTTCACTGCAGTTCTATCCAGTGCTTTCTGAGAGAAAAGCAACATTCATCGGTGAAATCAATTCTACCTGATATAATTCCATACTCCAAAAATTGGACTTCTCCCCAGAGATTTTATATTTGTAAAATATAAATAATTGTGCTTGTGCAAAATCCCATTTCCATGTTATGTGTGTGTAAAATGTATAAACTTATCGTACATAAAATCCCATTCTTATTTTATGCACATGTACAATATGCATCAAATATTTCTGAGGTTTTCACGGGTGTTTGTATGTAGGTCTTTGGTTATTTGGGTTTTCTCCCATGTAAAATTGGAAGTGTCTTGGCGACGTTTAGACGAAGTCTCATTCGTCATCTTCAGGTTAGGAGCAATGTGTGATCACAGCTGTTTCTTCCTTTTAACTGCCAGTGGGGGTGGGAGCTTGTCTGTGTTCTGATAATATAATAATAATAATCCTACCAGCAGACAAGGGAAACGCCACGGTGGTTAAGAACACATCTGACTACTAAACCAAATTAACCAACCTACTCCAAGACTCCACATACAAACCCCTAAATACAGATCCCACCACCTATCTGGAAAAAAACCTACTAGATCCAAAATAAAAGCCTCCCCCATCAGCGAAGAGATCCAGCAAAGAATCACTCCCAGAGAGAAATCATCCAGATGCCCTAAGCTCTATGGTCTCCCCAAGATACACAAAGGAACCCCACTTAGACCCATAGTCAGCTCCATAGGCTCACCTCTACAAAACCTAGCCAAATTTCTCACCAAACAACTACAGCCCTATGCAGAATCCATCACCTCACATTTAAAAAACTCATTCCAGTTCATAGAGATCATAAAGAAACAAAACTTACAGCCCAGCGACCTACTCGTGAGCTTCTATGTCATATCCCTCTTCACCCAAGTGCCAATCAAAGAAGCCTTGACAGCTATCCAAAACAAATATAACCCCCCCAAGCACATCCTAGATCTGACCAACCACTGCCTATCCAACACATACTTCAACTATAATGGACAAAATACAAACAAATAGAAGGAGCACCTGTGGGATCACCCCTCTCACCTGTCATTGCAAACCTCTACATGGAACACTTTGAAACCCAAGCTCTAGAAAAATCTGATCACAAACTCTGGCTCAGATACGTAAACGACACCTTCATAATCTGGCCACATGGGAAAGAAAAACTGGACAACTTCCTCACACACCTCAACAGCCTACACCCCAAAATACCGTTCACCATGGAAACAGAAGCTAACAACCAACTTCCCTTTCTGGACATCTTAGTCTACAAGAAATCCAATGGTTCCCTACGACACACCATCTACCAGAAGAAAACACACACAAACCACTATCCGCACGCACTCTCACACCACCACCCAGCACAGATCAACTCCGTAGCCAAGACACTCATCTCCAGAACAAAAAGCTTAGCTGACGAACAACACCTAAAAACGGAACTACACACTCTCACTAACGTACTAACATCCAACGGATTCCAAAGAAATAAGATTACCAACCTAATCCAAAAAGAAACCCCCACTAAAATCCAAGACAGAGAACAAGAAAACGGCAAAGCCCTCCTCCCATACATAAAAGGTACCACAGACAGAATCAGCAAGATCCTCCACAAACAACATCAAGACAGCATTCTGCACAAATCGAAAAATATCCACCATCCTAAGAAACCCCAAAGACAAAATTGAGTTAGAAAATCAAGGAGTATATGAAATCCCATGCACCGCCTGTCCCACCACATAAATCGGACAAACCAACAGAAGAATAAGTGCACGCACTGAAGAACACAAGAACTCAGTCAGAAAAGAGGAACCAACTTCTTCCCTGGTCCAGCACCTTAGAGCCACAGGACACGAAATTGACTTTAAAAAGACCAGAACTATCGCCAAAACTGAACACTTTAACAACAGAATAATCAGAGAAGCCATCGAGATAGAAAAACACCCACACAGCATGAATAAATAAGATGATACCTCCCGCCTACCAGCCATTTGGAAACCTGCCCTTATTGACAAACGAGTCCCCAACACTAAGAATGACACCAGACCCACACTCACGAAAACCACACAGGATGTAACCACCACACATCCACGCAAAAAACAAACCCAAATTCACACCGATGAGGCACGACCACAAACCAGAAGCCAGACCACAGCTGCATCATTAGCCACTTTAAACCCCTCCAATCCATACATGAAACAAACTGACACCCACCATGAAGATGTGGCACGACCATGAATGTGAAGCCAAACAACAGCAACGCAGCTTACCAGCTCAAATCCCCCTGCAACTCAGACTAACCCGAGCACAACCAAGCCCCCACCTAAACAGAACACATCCCCATCCAATCAGAGAACAGCCAAGCCCCCAACCAATCTGAACACACCTCCACCCAATCAGAACACAGCCAAGCTCCCACCCAATCACTTCATACCCCCACTGGCAGTTAAAAGGAAGAAACAGCTGCGATCACACATTGCTTCTAGAAGCACGAAGCCGAAAACACCAGTCTGAAGATGATGAATGAGACTTCGTCGAAACATCGCCAAGTTACTTCCAATTTTACATGGGAGAAAACCCGAATAACCAAAGACCTACATACAAACACCCGCAAAAACCTCAGAAAACAAATACACACACACACACACACACACACACAAAAAATCCCATTCAGTTTAATGGACATACTGCTTTGACAGACATTAATTAATTAATTAATTAATAATACTGTAAACAAAGTGCTATATGCTAGGTTGAAAAGGCAATTAATTAATTAATTCATCACATTTATAAGCGTGCAGAATTTGTTGATAAATCTAGGTGCATATTGTTCCATGCTAACACATACACGTGTTTCTATTATCTACAGAGCAACATTTTAAGACATGAATTTATCAAAGGCATCCTAGAAAGTGTTTAGGAAATAAAGTTTGAAGCTTAATGAAAAATAAAATCCCTTCTAAATCAGAAATTCTTCCAGAGACGTATTAAAGATGGTTAAGTGCTTACTGCTTCTTTCAGGCCTTTGCAAAAGCCTAGCTCTCTTCTGAATTCCACTTTCATGAAGTGCCTTGAACCAGTCTCGCAATCTACTTGCAACTTCTCTGAACTCCAAGTCACCACACGCTGAAAAGCAAAATAAAAAGTCCTTTAATCTCCACAGGCTGCCTAAAAATTAAATCTTTCATATTGTAAATAAATGTAAAGTAGCCACAGGCAATCGTTTTGTTATGACTTCCATTCCCTTTTTCTTTTTCTATATTTTTTTTTTAAATGTAATTTACATAAGGCCTTTGAAAAGTTTTATTGGCAATTATTCCTTTATAAATTATTTATAATCCTTTAAAATTGCAAAATAAACCCAAAAGAAGTGTCTTGTTGAATCTGTCTGGTTTTCTATCTTATTCAAATTTCGATGTCACACAGTGGCCAACTGGATATATTTGGAAACTCATAGCCATTTATTACAATCACTGGCAGTGAATTCACCAGTTTAACTATGTGCTATGCAGTACAAAACTTTTTTTGTCTATAAAACTCTCTATTTGATTTCAATGAATCTCAAGTTTTATGAAAAAGAGATTAAAATATGCTATTTAAGCTAAACATGATTTTTAGATATATATCGTATGTCCCAAAATCTCCAAGATCCATAATTATGGAACTTTCAAAATCTCAGAGTAAAAGTATTGTGTATCTCTGATTATAGTTGGCTCTCATTGACATAATGATACAAATGATATAAATTAACTGTTCTACACGCAGGTCCTGCTGAAATCATGATAAAGCAAGGCGGTCTAATAAGTATCTTAATAGGTTTCCACCTTGGTGACCCCTTGTGTATTTGAAACATTATGAATAAATGAAGATATGATATTGATGTATTAACCACAATACAACATTTTTATAATTTGAAAACTAGAATAATATATAACAAAGAGTTTCTATGTTTTTATCACATAAAAGAAACACTTTATAAATTATAATAAATTGCACATAAAGTATAATTATAATAATAAATTAACTGATCTATCAAGAAACTACTGAGCATAACAGACCTGTGTTTTCTTCTAACTACTTCTAACTAAGCTTCTGCTGCTGTCAGAGTGCTTAGTAGTTAACCATTTCCAGTTGCTAGAGTATTGAACTAAATTGGTAAAAGTATATTCTTATTCCGGGTAACACAAACCTCCTAACCCTTCAAAGCAGGGGTACTATTCAACCGGTAGCGGAAATTTTGAGTAGTTTGGAGAACTGGCAAATACCACCTCTGGCTGGCCCCAGAGTGGAGTGGGAATGGAGATTCTGCAGTATCCTTCCCCTGGAGTGGGATGGGAATGGGGATTTTGCAGTATCCTTCCCCTGCCATGCCCACCAAGCCACATCACGCCCACTAAGCCACGCCCACAAAACCAGTAGTAAAAAAATTTGAATTCCACCACTGCTTCAATTTTTTTTTAATCTATTCCCCCCCAAACAAACAAAACAAAAATGCAAACACTACAACAATTAAGAGCAGCTTGGAATCGTTTAATTTGGAAGATTAGTTTAATTTGTAAAAAGGCTATTGATTAACGCATTGTAAGCCGCCCTGAGTCTCCGGAGAAGGGCGGCATATAAATCAAATTAAAAAAAAAAAGATACTATGGCACTACTCTTGAGCTCCAGTTCTATAACATTTGTTTGTTTTACATATGATGAACATAGGAAGAAGATGAAGTGAAAAACATAAAATTATATTGAATGTACAGAGCAGCTGACTATGGCTGGTATCTGTATAAAAAACAAGACAAACCTGAAAGTTAGGAATAATATTAGGAATAATTAGATGTCTGTTTAAACTATTTAAGAGAAAACCATATTGACACTACTGGCTCCACACTGCCTAATTATAGCTATAGAGATTGCTAAATATGTGATATTAAATAATTCAGTTAAATTCTTGAGCTCTGCTACTGCCAGAATGACAGATTGAGTTTGCAGCTTACTAAGGATTACATCTAGCTAGGTATTCCAATTGCAGAGTTTCCTTCTTAAAATGAAAAAAAAATTTTTTTTTCTATTCTCATGAAGGTATGCTCCTTAAATTATATAGTACATATTGGTCTGCATTGATTTAAAATAAGGTCAAGATGAGGTAATTCAGACTGATATTTGAATCAACAGGTTGGCAGATGAATCTTTAATGAGGAAGACAGACAGTAAAGATTCTGGAAGGTTATACAGTAATAAAAAATGCATATTAAATCAGATGAATCCACTCAGGAACCTGCCAAGAAGTGCTTTCTTTTGGTGTAATACTGAGTCGTGCTCTTACAAGCAATTCTAGCAACCACTAAAATAATAAGTATGGATAAATAAAATTCCCAGGTCAAATGTATTTTAGCTGACCATCAGAAAATTCTAGAAGATGACTAGGTACATAAAAATAACATACTTAACAAGTATGGGGGGAATCTTTCATACATGTCCTGTAAATTATTTTCATAATGTATAAATGCAAAATGGAACCAACTGCTGAATTTGATTTCACATTAAATAAATGCTGCAATTTGGAGTTGGCATTTGAATATACAGAAATACACTGATTAGTCAGAATTTTTAGAATTGCATATGTTCCTTTATTGTTTTAATTTTCAGTGCAAAATCTATTGTATTGTATTGTTTCATACTATGGACTCATGAAAGCATGTATGAAAAAAATGTCTAACATTTCTCATGTAAAATATGCATCTCACAAAGCACTGCAGGTTATAAGATTAGTCATTTCACTTAGATAATATAAGATGCTTCAAATCAAAAACATGAATGTTGTCTCAAAAGAAGTTCAGCGTGGAGTACATATAGAATTTTAGATGTCTATGAGTGCATAATAGCTGAAAGAACATTTACCTTAAACAGAAAGAATGTCTTTAAGTGATTCTGTTCAAAACATACAACTCTTCTAGTTATCAAATAATCTGGCAAAATTCTACACAGCACAATTCTATACCATTCTATACATACTACCGTGTTTCCCTGAAAATAAGACCCTGTCTTATATTTTTTTGAACTCTGAAATAAGCGCTTGGCCTTACTGCCATGCGCCCAAAAGCCCGATTGGGCTTATTATCAGGGGATGTCTTATTTTGGGGGAATTTGTCAGCTAATCTGCTGGTGATGCTGTCTATCCCATATTTTTTTTTAGCTTATCAAGAAGTGGGTTGTGGTCTATTTTGTCAAATGCCTTACTGAAATCCATGTATATTATGTCCATTACATTTCATTGGTCGCCTAATTTAGTCACTTTGTCAAAGAATGAAATAAGATTTGTTTGGCATAATCTGTTTTTGACAAACCCATTTTGGCTTCTGGTTATAACTTTCCTTTTTGCATGAAGATAGATGCAAAGAAAACTCTGCTTTCTCTCTACTGCCTGTTACTTTCTTGCTATCTTCTCTTGTTAGTGGACCAATTGTTTCCTTGACTTTTTTTCCCTTATTTTTATAAGTTGAAAGAAACATTTTAAAATTATTTTTGACATTTGTTACAAGTTTTACTACATTCTGAGCCTTAGCTTTCCTGGCTTCATCCTTGCAAGTTCAGGCTATTTGTTGGTATTCTACCTTACTTATTTTTCCATTTTTTGTACTTATCTTCTCTTTATTAGAGAGTTCTTTGTGTAACCATGCTGAGTTCTTCTTTGATTTCTTGTTTTTCTTTTTCAGTGGTATTGAGCTGAACTGGGCTTTTGTAATTATATTTTTTAGTGTTTCTTAAGCTTCTTGAATTGTGTTCTCCTTTAAGATTTTCATGCATGGAATCCTTCCCAAACACTCTCCAAGTTTGTTAAAATCAGCTTTTTTAAAGTCTAAGACACTGATTTGATTATGTTTTATTGATTATGTTTGCATTATATTGAATTCCAATATGACATGGTCACTCTTCCGCAAAGTTCCTAAAATTTATTTAAACTTTTTATGAAAACAATTCCAGGAGTTCCAAAACTAGGGAGAAAATTAGATAATTTATTACTATCTATGGTGTGGTTCTATTCCACCTTCATTCTTGAACTTTTGAGATAGACTCATTGGAAGCATGGTAGATTGCTATCTGACATCTTGGTTATCTCAGGCAATAATTGAAGTTAATTATCTTTGTTGCAGCATGTCATTTTGTAAATTAAATGACGGGTAGTTGCAAGATAGAAACACATAATAAGGTAGGACAGCCAATGTAAAACTTCCTTCCATTTCAGACTTAAGAGGTAAGTAGAAAAAACTGCTGGGAAAGCCAAGTAATGGCCCTACAGACATATCTCTGAAACAAGGTTAAAATAACTTTTAATTCGCTCCAATCAGAACATTATTTTATCAGCTCAGATGAATCTCTACATGGTCAGAGCCTTTATACAGCTCGTTAATCATTTCAAACTAGAAAGAAAACAGAATTATTAGTTTGCAGAAGGAAAGAACCTGAACCCAATGCTACTTGGATACTACTATTCTATGACAGCTTTGTTTCTTTATTTTTTTAAAGAGAAAACAAAGAAATGCCTTTTGTTTTATTAGAACAGAACAGAATAGAAATTGCAAATAAAAGCCATATGATTTGCTACTTAACTATTTGAGTTTTATACACTAATTATTCCATGTTATGAGATAATTAATATAAATACTGCTGAAATACCAGGGAAGTACATCTTTTTTACTACTTTAAATTAATGTTACATAGAGACATTCTGTCCATGACTAATGTAGCAGAAAATTTAAAATGTTTTCAATTAAATTAGATACCCAGTAGAGGAATTTGATCAAATTGTCTCCACACTGTTGTCAAGAATGCCTCATTCTGTCATCAAAAACTACAGCATTAGATATATAATATCTAATTATATAGATAGATATAATCCTATCAAGATTTACAGCATGGAGAACTGACAGGTTAAGACAGATCTGAGATATTTATTTATTAAGAACAGGGTTTTTTCTTTGGGTGGGGGAAAGATGTTTATCTTAAATTTTGTGCTTCTTTCAGTGGTTTGAATTAATACCAGTGGTGGCAGCTGAAAGGAGAAGGAAGGCATTGAGAAGAAACTGGTACACCTCTAAGATCCTATTTTATATATTATATACTAGCTGATAACT